TCACCCCTATCCTCTGGTAACCACCATTCTTCTCTCCAAATTTTCTTTTTTTTTTTTTTGAGACAGAGTCTCGCTCTGTCACCCAGGCTGGAGTGTAGTGGCGCAATCTCGGCTCACTGCAACCTCCACCTCTCAAGTTCAAGTCATTCTCCTGCCTCAGCCTCCTGAGTAGCTGGGACTACAGGTACATGCCACCCCACCAAGCTAATTTTTTGTATTTTTAGTAGAGACAGGGTTTCACCGTGTTAGTCAGGATAGTCTCGATCTCTTGACCTTGTGATCCGCCCACCTCGGCCTCCCAAAGTGCTGGGATTACAGGCATGAGCCACCGCGCCCAGCCTCTTCTCTCTACTTCTATGAGATTGACTGTTTTAGAGTTCATACATACATGAAATCATGAGTTATTTGCCTTTGTGTCTGGCTTATTTCATTTAGTGTAACATCCTCCAGGTTCACCCAAGTTGTCCCAAATGACAGTATTTCCTTCCTTTTTGTTGTTGTTTTTTGAGAAAGATTTTCACTCTTGTTGCCCAGGCTGGAGTGCAATGGCACGATCTCAGCTCACTGCAACCTCTGCCTCCCAGGTTCAAGCGATTCTCCTGTCTGAGCCTCCTGACTAGCTGGGGTTACAGGCATGTGCCACCATGCCCGGCTGATTTTATATTTTTTAGTAGAGACGGTGTTTCTCCATATCGGTCAGGTTGGTCTCAAACTCCTGGCCTCAGGTGATCCACCTGCCTCGGCCTTCCAAGCTTTTAGTTTGATGCAATCTCATTTGTCTATTTTTGCTTTTGTTGCTTGTGCACATCCAAAAAAATTGTCTACCCAATCTCATGGAGATTTTTCTATTATGTTTTCTTTTTCTTTTTCTTTTTCTTTTTTTTGAGACAGAGTCTCACTCTGTCACCTGGGCTGGAGTGCAGTGGTGCAATCTCGGCTCACTGTAAGCTCTGCCTTCCAGGTTCATGCCATTCTACTGCCTCAGCCTCCCATGTAGCTGGGACTACAGGTGCCTGCCACCATGCCCAGCTAATTTTTTGTATTTTTAGTAGAGATGGGATTTCACCGTGTTAGCCAGGATGGTCTCGATCTCTTGACCTCATGATCCGCCCACCTTGGCCTCCCAAAGTGCTGGGATTACAGGTGTGAGCCAACACGCCAAGCCTTTTCTTTTAGTAGTTTTACAGTTTCAGGTTATACTATACCATTTTATTATATAACAAGTACATCTAAAGATTTTGCTGTAATGGAATAAAATTTATTTAAAGTCAACTTTCCATGCATTTGCTAGTTCAGTTCATAGTGAAGAGAGCAAGAAAAGAAATGGTAAAATAAAAAGATTGGCAAGAAAGATGCCAAAATGCTAATACTAGTTTTAGCCCTACATGCTGAGATTAAGGGCAAGTTTTATATTCTTTTTCTTACTAATTCTATTTTCTAAATGTTTGCATTGCAATTATGTATCACTTCTATAATAATAAAAAAATTAAAATATGACTTCTTAAGCTAGATGATATTACTTAAAATATGATCATCTTAAAAATTCCTAAGCAGAATATCAAAGCCTCATCTACCTCACTCTCAAACATAGTGGAAGCCCCCTAACTGATATCTTTGCTACCAGTCTCTCTAACACTAAACCATTCTGCATCTTGTCATCAATTACCTTACCATTCTAGTTTCTGCTCAGAATCCAATCACAGATCATAAACTACAATCCTTTGGATTTATGCAAAACATTTCTGGATAATCTGACCTAATTCTACTTTTCCACCTTTATCTACCAATACTATCCTATCAAATCCTCAGTTCTTCTAAGAGAAGCCTGGTAGAAAGAACCCAGGCCTTAGAGGAGACTTTGGCCCATACATAATCTCTTGGCCTCAATGGACAGTGAGTGTGAAGACTAAATCTTTAAATAAGTAACACACCTAGTATACAACATGCCTTCAATAAATGGTCATTATTATTATTGTCATTATTAGCCAAATAAGATTTTATTCACTGACTCCTCAAAAAGCTTTGCATTTTTGTATCTGTGCTTTCTATATCACTATTTGCTCTGAGTTCCTCTATCTTCTAAAATCCTATTAAAAATCAAGGTTCATTATTATGCACTACATGCCTGCATCAAAATATCTTATATAACCCATAAGTATATATACCTACTATGTAACCACAAAAATTAAACGTAATTTTTAAAAAATTCAAAGTCCAGTTCAAGTCCCCTCCTAGAAGGCTTCCCTGACTCTTCCTTTTTTTTTTTTTTTTTTTTTTTTTGTTGTTGTTGAGACAGAGTCTTGCTTTGTCGCCAGGCTAGAATACAGTGGCACAATCTCAGCTCATTGAAACCTCTGCCTCCTGGGTTCAACAGCTTCTCCTGCCTCAGCCTCCCGAGTAGCTGGGACTACAGGCGTGTGCCACTATGCCCAATTAATTTTTGTATTTTTAGTAGAGACGGGGTTTCACCATGTTGGCCAGCATGGTCTCGAACTCTTGACCTTGTGATCTGCCTGCTTCGGCCTCCCAAAGTGCTGGGATTACAGGGGTGAGCCATCATGCCAAGCCTTCCCTGACTCTTCAAAGTTAATATGACCCCTCACTCATTTGAACTCCTATAGCACTTAAGAGTTTATTCTACTCAAATGGTGGTGTCTTAGTTAATTTATTAGTTCTATTTCCATCAATGTAAGTAGAGCAAGTAAAGTATAAATTCCTTGCTAGCAGACACTCCATTTTATATATATCTTGATACCTTTCTGATGTCTGAATATATCACCAGACATATGCTCAAAAAATGTGTTAATCTGGCCAGGTGTGGTGTCTCACACCTGTAATCCCAGCACTTTGGGAGGCCAAAGCAGGTGGATCACCTGAGGTCAGGAGTTCAAGACAAGCCTGGCCAACACGGTAAAACCCTGTCTCTACCAAAAATACAAAAATTAGCTGGGCATGATGGTGAGTGCCTATAATCCCAGCTACTTGGGACGCTGAGGCAGGAGAATCACTTGAACCTGGGAGGTGGAGGTTGCAGTGAGCTGAGATCGAGCCATTGCACTCCAGCCTGGGCGACAAGAGCAAAACTACGTCTCAAAAAAAAAAGTGTTAATTTGACTTATAAATTTGAAAGAAAGTCACCACAATAAAAATACTGGCTGAATATTTTTGAGGTAGACTAGGAAGCCAATAATTCTATACAAAGATAAAAAGTTTCAAGTAAGCAGTATAATTTAATTCCATAATTTAACACCATTGACCAAACATGTAAGTCATACTTAAGCCATATGAGTTCTCTCTAGCCCAATATAAACATATAAAAATTAGCAATAAATGACCCTAAGTAAATAGCACTTTAAACTTTCCAAAGCATCCTGCACATAAACCCTAACTAAATATACATTGAATTAAATTGTCTTATTTGGTCTCATTTGAAAATATATTTGGCCAGGTGTGGTGGATCACATCTGTAATCCCAGCCTGAACAACACAGTGAGACCTTGTCTTATTAAAACAAAGTTTTTTTTTAAATAAAATAATTTTTGTTTTTAAGACAGGGTCTCACTCTGTCACTCAGGCTGGAGTGCAGTGCTGCGATCATGGCTCACTGCAGCTGTGAACTCATGGGCTCAAGAGATCCTCCCACCTCAGCCTCCTGAGTAGCCGAAACTACAGGCACATGCCACTATACCTGGCTAATTTTTTTGGTTGTTTGTTATTGCTGTTGTTGTTTGTAGAGATGGGGTTTCACCATATTGCCCAGGCTGGTCTTAAACTCCTGGGCTCAAGGGATCCACCCACCTTGGCCTCCCAAAGTACTGAGATTACAAGCATGAGCCATCATGCCTGGCCAAATAAAATTTCTTTTTTGTTTTTTTTTTGAGACGGAGTCTTGCTCTGTCGCCCTGGCTGGAGTCCAGTGGCGCAATCTTGGCTCACTGCACTCGGTTCCCAGAGGAAACCTCCACCTCCCGGGTTCAAGCAATTCTCCTGCCTCAGCCTCCCGAGTAGCTGGGACTACAGGCACGTGCCACCACGCCCGCCTAATTTTTTTGTGTGTATTTTTAGTAGAGATGGGGTTTCACCGCGTTAGCCAGAATGGTCTCGATCTCCTGACCTCACGATGCGCCCACCTCGGCCTCCCAAAGTGCTGGGATTACAGGCATGAGCCATCAAGCCCAGCCAAATTTTTTTTAAAAAAGAAAATATACTTGCCTGACTAAAATATCAAAATAATTAAAGCAAGAAAGATTCCGATACAGATTATTAAAAAGTGACAATTATATAAACTTATAAAAATAATTCCCCACTTTGGGAGGCCAAGGAGGATGAATTGCTTGAGCCCAGGAATTTGAGACCAGCCTGGACAACATGGCGGAACTCTGACTTTACAAAAAATGTGAAATTTAGCTGGATGTGGTGGCACACCTGTAGTTCCAGCTGCTCAGGAGTCTGAGGTGGGGAAGATCAATTGGGCCCTGGAGGTCGAGGCTGCGTTGAACCATGATCATGCCACTATACTCTAGCCTGGGTGACAGAGTGAGACCCTATCTCAAAATAATAATAATAATACTCAAAGGCAAAATGTGTCTCCTCAAGTGAGTGCTAAAAGTTAAGGATAGATAACTTGAGGACATAATTTTACTTTTATTGTCACTCACTGATTTAATTACAATTTCCCATAAATAAATAACAATCTCTCCTCTTTGATAAATTACCAGTCAGCAATAGGAAACAACTGTTCTAATGAGCTGCTACTAATGTTCTAATTAGAGTAAAGCAACTTGACAGACAGAGGAAGTTGCTTTGTTAAATGCAGTTAATTACCAATAAATTAAGTCTTGATGGGCAGAAAACGACCTAGAGTACCACTAAACTCCAGCAAGATAGATTCAGCATGATAAATCCTGAATCCCTCCTTTTTTTGCTATTAGTGCTATTCTAGCAAGCCTCCAATGTTTCAGTTTTCTCACTGATGATCAGAAGGAAGGAAAAGCCATTACCTAAGGATGTTGGGATGGGAGAGTCTATTCATGAGCTGTACTTCTTTCAGCATGTTTGCCCGGTTACTGCTCAACGTGTTCATCTTAAGAGCCATCACCTGACCAGAAGCTCGGTGTCGTACCTAGAATATTAAATAGAACAAGAAAAGAGGGTCAAGGGCAACAGCTATATATGAGGTCAACATCTCCAAATGTACAATATGCCAAGATATTTCTGTGCCACTTTAGATAAAATATACATCTAATTACATTAAAGTATCACTTCCATGAATGAAGACGAATTATTCTACCCAAGACCAGTATTATTTCAAATGGAGTTGGCCAGAAAAACATTGTTAATAACATCTCAATAAATCATGTCTGATATACACCATGGAAAACTATGCAGCCATAAAAAGGAATGAGGTCATGTCCTTTGCAGGGAAGGGGTAAATGGGATATCCACCATCTCAAGCATTTATCATTTCTTTGTGTTGCAAACATTCCAATTATACTGTTAGTTATTTTAAAATGTACAATTAAATTATTGTTGAGTGTAATCACCCTGTTGTGCTAAATCTTCTTCATTCTATCTAACTATATTTTTGTACCCATTAACTGCTGGGTACCATGAAGCTGGAAGCCATCATCCTCAGCAAATTAACACAGGAACAGAAAACCAACACCGCATGTTTTCACTCATAAGTGGGCGTTGAACACTGAGAACACATGGACACAGAGAGGGGAACAACACGCATCAGGGCCTGTTAGCGGGTGGGGGCTGAAGGAAGGGAACTTAGAACTTAGTCAATAGGTGCAGCAAACCACCAGGGCACAAAACTGCACGTTCTGCACATGTATCCCATTTTTTCTTTTTTTTTAGAAGAAATAAAGAAAAAATAAATAAATAAATAAATAAATAAATAAATAAAAGAAATCATGTCTAGTTTGTTGCTGTTGTTGTTTTTCTTTGAGACAGGGTCTCACTGTGTCACCTAGACTGGAGTGTAGTGGCACAATCTCGGCTCACTGCAACCTCGCCTCCTGGGCTCAAGTGATTCTCCTGCCTCAGCCTCCTGAGTAGCTGGGATTACAGGCATGTGCCAACACACCCGGCTAATTTTTGTATTTTTAGCAGACTCAGGGTTTCACCATGTTGACCAGGCTGGTCTCAAACTCTTGACCTCAGGTGATCCGCTTGCCTCGGCCTTCCAAAGTACTGGGATTACAGGTGTGAGCCACCATGCCCAGCCAATCATGTCTGTTTTTTTTGTTTGTTTGTTTTGAGACAGAGTCTTGCTTTGTTACCCAGGCTAGAGTGCAGTGGCACAATCTCAGCTCACTGCAACCTCCACCTCCCAGGTTCAAGTGATTCTCCTGCCTCAGCCTCCCAAGTAGCTGGGATTACAAGTGCCTGCCACTGTGCCCAGCTAATTTTTGTATTTTTAGTAGAGACAGGGTTTCACCATGTTGGCCAGGTTGGTCTCGAACTCCTGACCTTGTGATCCACCAGCCTCAGCCTCCCAAAGTGCTAGGATTACAGGTGTGAGCCACCACACCCGGCCTGTTTTTAATACCTTAGGAAAAAAAATGAGGGAAAAATTTTAGGCTGATTCCTCATAGCTGACCTTGGTGAGTCTTAAGACACCAACAGAAAAGAGTCCCTTCTGTGGCATTCTAAGTGTGCAAAAAGAAGATATATGCATGAGCCTTATATAACACTTAATGAAACTGTCTTTATAAGATGCTAAACCCACATACTCAAAGTCTCCCCCAAGTACCATAAAAATATATCTATAGGCCGGGCGCGGTAGCTCACGCCTGTAATCCCAGGACTTTGGGAGGCCGAGGCGGGCAGATCACGAGGTCAGGAGATTGAGAGCAGTCTGACCAACACAGTGAAACCCCGTCTCTACTAAAAACACAAAAAATTAGCCAGGCGTGGTGGCGGGTGCCTATAGTCCCAGCTACTCGGGGGGCTGGGCCAGGAGAACAGTGTGAACCCGGGAGGCGGAGCCCGCAGTGCGCCAAGATTGCACCACTGCACTCCAGCCTGGGCAACAGAGCGAGACTCCGTATCAAGAAAAAAAAAAAAACCTATAAGAAAAAAAAATTTCATGCTAAATATAGAAAGAAGTCCGTGAACCTTTTGGAGCTAATATTGTAGTAACTCTACCCAAAGCACCTTATAATCATTTAAACTCACTCAAGTTAAATACAACAAACATGGGCCACACGACTCACACTATTACCCATATGCACAGAGGAAAGTCTACTTCTAAAAGCATTCACCCTCGATAGAACTCAGTCTATTGTGCATGTGTAAATACTATTTATCATTTCAATGCACACTCCACAGGTTTCATAAACCATAACACTTTACTTGAGAAAAGATTGTTTTCACCCTGTAAATGTGGTCTCATTGGTAGCACACTAAGACCACCAGACAAAACATTTTGTCTGATTCAAAGAAGCTAAAATGAGATACATGTGTTTCCTGCTTAGGAATTATGAATGAGGCAGTAGAAAAATCATGAAGTCACAAAGATCTTTCTGGTTAAAAAAAAAATTCATTTCATATCTTGCACAACGGGGACTTTACTATACAAAAATGTCATTATCCTATGGACTTCAGGAGTATCCTTTCAGTATGCTATACTTGATCAAATGGGAATTCCAAAAGAAAACATGACAACTTACTTAAACTCTTCAATATCCGAAAACTCCTTGAAATGATAATAGCTCCATAAGTTTATCATAGCTATTAATACAGGTCAGACATTACAGCTTATCTTAGAATTCAAAGAAACAATGTTTCAGAGTGGCCAGGCAGAAGAGGGAAGGTTGTTGAGGGGGAGGCCAGGCCAAAACACAAAGAACCACAGGAACCCTGATCGGAAAAACGAAGGCAGGCAGAACACTGGCTGCCTCTCCTCTCCTAGATCACTGAGTGAGATTTGGAACCCAGCTCTCTTCTCAGTGCATCAATGATTCTGTTGTAATGCACCTCTTGACTGATGAAAGAGAAGTAGCTTTCCATTTTAGATCCTGCATGGGTAAGTTAAAAGAAACATTTATAAACAAAGGGCTCACTGGCAGTATTTTTCCAACTCTATTTACAGAAGACATCTGTGTTTTAATAAGGACTCTCCATCTGAAAGTCACTCTTCTTATTTTTCCATCATCTGAAAACTGTCACACTAAGATTTTAGCAAAATGGCAAAACCCATGAAAAGATCATTCATCCTGACCAAGTGGGATTTAGCCCTAGGATGCAAGGATAGTTCAACATATGTAAATCAATCAATGTGATACATTATATCAACAGAATGAGGGACAAAAACCATATGATCATTTCGTTAGATGTTGAAAAAGCATTTGATAAAATTCAACATCTCTTCATGATAAAAACCCTCAAAAAACTAGGTATAAAAGGAACATAACTCAAAAAGCCATATATGACAGACCCAAAGCTAGTATCATACTGAATGGAGAAAAACTTAAAGCCTTTCCTCTGAGATATGGAACACAAAAAGGATGCCCACTTTCACCACTGTTATTCAACATAGTCCTGGACATCCTAGCTAGAGCAATCAGACAAGAGAAAGAAATAAAGGGCAACCAAATTGGAAAGGAAGAAGCCAAATTATTCTTGTTTGCAGATGATATGATCTTGTACTTGGAAAAACCTAAAGACTACACTAAAAAAACTATTAGAACTGATAAATTCAGAAAAGTTACAGCATACAAAAATCAGTAGCATTTCTATATGCCAACAGCGAACAATCTGAAAAAGAAACCAAAAAGTAATCCAATTTATAGTAGCTCCAAATAAAATTAAATACCTAGAAATTAAGTTAGCCAATGAAGTAAAAGATCTCTAAAAGGCCAAACACAGTGATTCATGCCTATAATCCCAATACTTTGGGAGGCCAAGGCAGGAGGATTACTTCAGTCCAGTAGTTCGGGACCAGCTTGGGCAACATAGTGAGACATTATCTCTACAAAAAATACAAAAAAAAAATTAACTGGGCTTGGTGGCTCAAGCCTGTGGTCCCAGCTAGTTGGGAAGCTGAAGTGGGAGGATTGCTTGAGCCCAGAGGGTCGAGGCTGCAGTGAGCTGTGATCGTGCCACTGTACTCCAGCCTGGGTGACACAGCAAGACTGTCTCAAAAACAAACAAATAAAAAAGATCTCTACAATGAAAGTTATAAAACATTGATGTAAGAAACTAAAAAAGATACAAAAAAACGGAAAGATATTCCATGTTCATGAACTGGAAGAATGAGTATTTTAAAAATTTCCATACTACTCAAATATTAAACTTTCTATGGAATCACAAAGATCCAGAATTGCCAAAGCCATCCTGAGGAAAAGAAAAAAAGCTGGGCCAGGTGTGGTAGCTCACGCCTGTAATCCCAGCACTTTGGGAGGCTGACATGGGTGGATCACCTGAAGTTAGGAGTTTGAGATCCACCTGGCCAACATGGTGAAACCCTGCCTCTACTAAAAAAACAAACAAAATACAAAAATTAGTTGAGCATGGTGGCACAACCCTGTAATCCCAGCTACTAGGGAGGCTGGAGCAGGAGAATGGCTTGAACCTGGGAGGCAGAGGTTGCAGTGAGCTGAGATTACACCACTGCACTCCAGCCTAGGCGACAGAGCTGAGACTCTGTCTCAAAAGAAAAAAAAAAAGAAAAAAGAAAAAGAAAAGAAAAGAAAAGAAACTGGAGGAATCACTTTACCTGACTTCAAATTATACCACAGAGCTATTGTAACCAAAACAACACAGTACTGGCATAAAAACAGAAACATAGACCAATGGAACAGAATAGAGAATCCACTAACAAATCCATAAATCTACAATAAACTCATTTTCAACAAAAGTGCTAAGAACATACATTAGGGAAAGGAAAGTCTCTTCAATAAATAGTGCTGGGAAAACTGTATAGCTATATGCAAAAGAATGAAACTAGACTCCTATCTCTAGCCACATACAAAAATCTAATCAAAATGGATTAAAGATTTCGATCTAAGACCTCAAACTATGAAACTACTACAAGAAAACATTGGGGGAAACTCTCCCATTGGTCTGGGAAAAGATTTCTCAAGTAACACTCCAAAAGCACAGGCAACCAAA